AGGATTTAATTTTAATTGGATTTATTTTATTTTTCAGGTTTTTGAAGAAAACAATTGGATTTGGGCTAGTTTACCAAGCAAAACCCACAAGTTGAGCCCAAAAAAAGCCTAATTCGGCCCAAAGCCCATCATCCCATTGTCCAGCCGAGCCGAGTCGAGAAGCCGCGAGCCAACCCAGCCGCCACGTGTCGACCACTGTCGCACCGCAGGACCGTGGGACCCAACTGTCCCCTCACAAATGCGCGCCTGGCGCGCACCGTCTGCTCCCTTGCGCGAGTCTCCTCCACGCGCGCGTCACCTGGATCTCCTCTCCTCTCCGCGTGGGTCCCGCGTTCCAGCCTCCCTCCAGCCACGTCTCGTCACGCGTCCCAGTGGGGCCCAGCTGCTCCCCCGCGTACGCGCGCTTTGCGCGCACGTTCCCTCCCCGCGCGAGTTCTTCTCCCGTACGCGTCCAGTCTCCCTCTGCGTGGTCTAGTTGTGCACCACGTCTCTCCTGCGCGCGAATCAACTTGCGACACGTGTCCCACTATTCAGAAACGGTATGGTTTTTCTTCCCCGATTAAGCCTTGTAACTTCTTAATTAGGATCCAGTTTTTAGCTTTTTAGCATTCTCAAAACTCTATAAATAGGGCCATTGTCAAGGTGATTAGGGGTGAATTTTTAGGAGCCTAAATTCTCACATATTTTCTATTATTTTCTTGTTCTTATACTCATACTTTCTTTTTAGAATTTTATAGGAATTATGTGCAAGCTAGGCTAGAGTATTTAGGTGAGGCTAGAGATGATCCTATATGTGTAGTGAACTTATTTGGATTTTTGATTCTCCAATGGTTTGTAAGTTTTATACATTTGAGTAAATAATTTTCTTTTATCATATTTCTTATTCTTATCAATATATTTTATTGTCAACTTTCATATAAATCTAGTCAAGCTCTTTTTATGTGATTGTTGCATTATATTATATATTGATAGGTATTATTTTATGAGTAGTCTTTTACTGCAATATTGTCAACGGTACATTGTCGCTCTTAGATTTCTCATAAGATAATTTTTCCTAATTCTAAACGTTAGAATTTTATTTACTCGAATACATTTTTAATTCATATGTTTTTCAAATATTTATTTTCCGATAGATTGTTTGGGATGTGAAACTTTCAATTGAGTCAATTTATGAGTCAAAATCCAATTAGGTGAACAAAGCATATGGAGGATTCTCAAAGCCTTACCACTTTTTTTATTATTGAATTTTCTCCATTTTAAATTGTTCAAAAAATCATCAAAAACACTCATTTTTTTTCTTTGTTTGATTGCTTACTTTCCTAAAGCTTTTTATTTGCTAGTCATTTCTTGTTCAATTTCCTCGTGGGATCAACCGTTCAAATTGTACTACAATTGACCCCTTGTTTTTGTACACATTTGGGCGTAACCAATCATTTTCGGAGGAAAAAAATTGGAAAACTGTGACTGAAGACGGCCATAACTTTTGATCCAGAAATTATTGCTGGGCCTATAATATACCAAATCGAAGCTCTTCTTGAGTTCTGCAATCATGGCAGGGCATAACTTACCAACCCAATTTTTCAGGCCAAAATTCACTTGTTTTCATCAGTTTCGGAGGAAAAAAATCAGAGAACTGTGACTGAAAACGGCCATAACCTTTTATCTACAAATCATTACTGGGCTAATAATATACCAAATCAAAGCTCTTTTCGAGCTCTACAATCATTACAGGGCATAGCCCACCAACCCAATTTTTCAGGCCAAAATTCACTTGTTTTCATCAGTTTCGGAGGAAAAAAATCAGAGAACACTAACAGAAAACAGCCAGAACTTTTTATCCACAAATCATTACTGGGCGAATAATATTCCAAATCAAAGCACTTTTTGAGCTCTACAATCATGTCAGGGCATAGCCCTCCAACCCAAATTTTCGGGCCAAAATTCACTTGTTTTCATAAGTTTCGGAGGTAAAAAATCAGAAAACTGTGAATGAAAATGGCCATAACTTTTTATCTAGAAATCGTTACTGAGCCTATAATATACCAAATCGAAGCGCTTTTCAAGCTCTACAATCATGGTAGGGCAGAGCCCACCAACCCAATTTTTCGGTCCAAAATTCACTTCTTTTCATCAGTTTCAGAGAACGAAAATCGGAGAACTGTGACTGAAAACGGCCATAACGTTTTATCTACAAATCGTTACTGGGCCTGTAATATACCAAATTGAAGCTCCTTTGGAGCTCAACAATCATGGCAGAACATAGCCCGCCAACCCAATTTTTTCGACCAAAATTCACTTGTTTACATCAGTTTCGGAGTAAAAAAATCGGAGAATTGTGACTGAAAACGGCCATAACTTTTTATTTAGATATCGGTACTGGGCCTATAATATACCAAATCAAAGCTCTTTTTGAGCTCTACAATCATGGCAGGTCATAGCTTGCTAATAAAATTTGTCAAGCCAAAATTCACTTGTTTTCATCAGTTTCGAAGGAAAAAAATCGGAGAACTGTGACTGAAAATGGCCATAACTTTCTATCTACAAATCGTTACTGGGCCTATAATATACCAAATCAAAGCACTTTTCGAGTTCTACAATCATACTAGGGCTTCTCCCTCCAACCCAATTTTTCGGTCCAAAATTCACATGTTTTCATCAGTTTCGGAGGAAAAAATCAGAGAACTATGACTGAAAATAGCCATAATTTTTTATCTAGAAACCGTTACTGGTCCTATAATATACCAAATCGAAGTTTTTTTCGATCTCAACAATCAAGATTGGGCAAAGCCCTCCAACCCAATTTTTCGGGCAAAAATTCATTTGTTTTCATCAGTTTCGGAGGAAAAACATCGGAGAACTGCGACTGAAAACGGACATAACATTTTATCTAGATATCGTTACTGGGCCTATAATATACCAAACCAAAGCTATTTTTGAGCTCTACAATCATGGCAGGGTATAGCCCACCAACCCAATTTTTTGGGCCAAAATTCACTTGTTTTCATCAGTTTTGGAGGAAGAAAATTGGGGAACTGTGACTGAAAACGGCCATAACTTTTTATCTACAAATCGTTACTGGGCTTATAATATACCAAATCGAAGCTCTTTTTGAGCTCAACAATCATGGTAGAATGTAGCCTGCCAACCCAATTTTTCGGGCCAAAATTTACTTGTTTACATCAGTTTCGGAGGAAAAAAATTGGAGAATTGTGACTGAAAACGGCCATAACGTTTTATCTAGATATCGTTATTGGGCCTATAATATACCAAATTGAAGCTCTTTTTGAGCTCTACAATCGCGGCAGGTCATAGCCCGCCAACCCA